AGTCAAAAGTCAGCGCAAAGAGCAATATCGACTTATCGCCTTCTATCGGCTAAATTTGCAGTATAGTAGGATTATTAAAATCGATCTAAAAGCTGGAATTATAAACCCTGCAGTTGGCCCTGTGCGTCGTTCGTAGTTTGCAGTTGCCGTCTATCGAGAAGTAAACAGACCCTTGTGCACCTACCAATTTATAAACCCGGCGTTGCTTGAAATTCGTCGTTTCCATGCCGTTGGTAGGTATCCAAATTTTATTTCGCCGGCCACACCGTTCGGGTAGTTGGCGATTTAACCAATGAGAGAAAGAGTTTCATATCACATGAGTGACTGACAGTGTGACATTTGTCAAAACGAGACCCTGTTTTGTTTATGTTTTTGGCAAGATGGCAGATCAAGTTATTTTCGTTGAGGATCCACACTTGTTAATTCAACTTATTGAAGTACTTGTACAATTTAGGACACTGTAACGAAGGTTACTAAAATTTTCCTTCTGACCGGTTAATTTAAGCCAGGGCCAGGCCAATGGTCGTTTTCAAAGGCCTCCGTAAAAGGATGTTTATTTATTTATTTAATGGCATTTTACAATTGCACCAGTATCGCGCACGTATACCACAAAGATTCTTCTTGTCCGGCCGATTTACTTCAGCGCCAGGCTGATGGTCTGTTTGTTTACTTACTAAATAGTATTTTACGATTGTACAGGTATCGCGCACGTACACCACGAATTTGCAAGAACGATCCCCAACAAAAAAGCTCCCTCCCCATCCAAGGTGAAAAAGGGTATAAAAGGCCATGCACAGGCGGATTTCAGAGCTGCATATTGACAATACACTCATTAGAGTTTGAACCGCACCATCGTGTGCGTTCGGTAAGGCTCCGGAAAAGCCTCTTGCAAAAGTGCCAAAAGTGACCACTGAACACAGAAAGTGAGAAGTGCACGAAGGCCGGAGATGTCCGAGCCACCCAAGCCTCAGGTAAGTGCCTCTGCACTTAATGGTACCCCAAAATCCGATGTTCACTATCACATGAAATCCTCCTCAAACTCCACCCGCGCCCTGAATTACCTCCACAAAAAAAACCAAGCCCTGAAGAAAACCTTCGCCAACGTCAAAATCCAAAACAAAAAGCTCAGCGACAAGCTGGACGAAATCCTCAATCACTTTAAAATACATGACCCAATGCCACTCAGAAAGCCCAGAAATTCCCCAATCTGCCCCTCGAAAAAGTTTCCAATATGGTCCCTTTACCACAATCCCAAGCAAACTTCCAGGAAGTCAAGCACCTCCTATACCTCCCGGTCCTAATCGAACCCCAAACAAACAGTAACACTTTAAACATTAAACACATTCCACAATGTAAAAATTGCCAGAAATTCGGGCAATTCATCATCGAACTGCGGCTCAAAACCCATTTGCCACAAATGTGCCGAGCCGTACTTCTATAAGGAGTGTCAGAGATCCCGTTACCTTCCTGGCAAATGCAGCAACTGTGAAGGGCCTCACCCTGCAAGTTATTTCCCTTGTCCCAAAAACCCTAACTTCACTCTACAAACAGAGACAAAGCGAAAGCAAGCCCTATTTAACAATAAAGTCCAACCAGGCACATCCTTCGCTGCGAAAGCAGCCAACTCCCATAACGCTGCCACAACTCCCAAACCCGCAAAACCAATCCAGGCCCTACTTGACCAACTTAGCACTCATCCCTAAACCCACAAATCCTGCAACTCCTGCTTCTTCTGACGAAGAAATCGAGGCTACAATTGGTAAAATTGCGGCCGCGATTTCCCGAAACCCCATTCTCAAAATGCTATGTTAAAAAGTAGCATTAATCCCCCAGGTGTCCATATCGTTTCATGAAACGCCGCATCTTTGTATCTTCAAAAGTGCGAGTTTGAGGCATACTTGAAAGAAAACGATGTAGACCTCGCGCTCATCCAAGAAACGTTCCTACGTCTCCAAACCCCATTCTATATTGACAACTACATCACTTACCGCACAGATAGACCCACACTGGGCGGAGGCACCCCGATCATTATCAAAAACACCATTTCTTATACTGCCCTATATACCATATAGGATTAGGGTACTATAACCTTATAGTACCCTAATCTCCCCGTTTAACTCTATAATCGAATCCACCAACTAATCTCTGCCTACAAACCTCCCAAAAAAATCACCACTCCTGCTGATTATAAAACCTTCTTTAACCTTAAACCAACCACCCTCCTAGCTGGGGATCTTAACAGCAAACATGTTACATGAGGCTGTAAAAAATCAACAGCGGAGGAATCAAACTTCTAAAATTATCCGAAGACCTACACCTCCAAATCCACGCCCCCGGTAAACCCACCCACTTTCACTATCGAAACCCTAATATCCTGGATATTGCTATCTCTAAAAATATCGCTCTTAATTTGGCAATTTCAAACTCTGACTTTCTCAGCTCCGACCACAACCCAATTAAAATCCTACTTAACAAAAATTTCAACTTTTTCGCTGATATCCCAAAACCCAATAATTAGTCTTCTTCCCCCAATTAGTCTTCTACCAACCTTCTCTAACTAACTTACAGAGAATTTCTTTAAAAAAATACTATTAGACAAAATCTCCAATAACAGTGGAATCCCTCACGAGCAATTCGGTTTCATGAGAAATCACGATTCCGAAATTCAAGTTGCCAGACTTGTTGAGAACGTCAGACTGGGACTCCACGGAAACGCCTTCACGGGGGTTATTCTCCTGGACATTGAAAAAGAGTTGTTGTTTTATTGTAGGCTTTCTAGCAGACCGAAAATTCCAAGTCCGAACTAACAACATCCTGTCCTCCCCAAGAAGGCGCGGAAGCGGGAGTACCACCAGGACCCCCCCTTTCCCCAATCTATATAATATTTTTCCGGCTGATATCCCCAAAGATACCGTTGCAAAAGTCGCAAAGGAGCAAAAGTTAGAAAGAACTAGGTTTCTCGAAAAATCAACAACAATTTCACGGCAGATCTTTCTGTCCTACCGACCAGACAACATCTTTCCGACCTACCGACCAGACTAGACCTTTCCAGACCCCCGACCAGCCAGTCGTTTCACGGCAGATCTGTTCGGTCCGACGAGACTGGAGATCTTTTTCCGACCTACCGACCAGATAAAATCTTTTCTGTCCTACCAATTAGACCTACCAGATTAGACCTTTTCTGATCCCGACCGGCCAGATGTTTCACTGCAAATCATTGTTCAAGTAAAGAAGGTATAGTACCGATCATTCCCGACGTTTCGCCCGGTTTCCAAGGTAATAAAAGCCATGGGATAATGTGAGGTGCCCTGGGCCCACCCCCCTCCATGTATCCTCCCCGTGTAAGTTATCATATTCTAGTCCCACTTCAGTCTGCCATGTTTTCCTTCGTGTAAAGTTACAATCCTTGGTTCATTTTTAGTCTACCACATTTTCGCAACATTCCATTCTCATTCAGTGAGGTTCTGCGCTGCCTGCAGTAATAGAAAACACCGTGATTGTGACCAATGGTGGATATTCTGACCTCATCTTGCCCGCCATTTCGCCCGTTATATGCTCAAAATTTCCACCTGGCCTCGGATCGTCGTTGCCTCGAGAACTCAGCGTGCGTGTGATTTCGGGCGGTCATTCTGTCTCATCCTGCCGGCCATTTCGCCCGTTATGAGCTCAGGGTGTCCGCTTAGTTCACGGGTCTCCACAGTTTCTGAGGGGTAGGGGTGCTTGGGACCATAGGTTTCTATTCTGGCCTCATCCTGCCGGCCATTTTGCCTGTTATGTGCTCAGAATGATTGCCGGTTTTCAGCCTTCAGCTATTTCTGCAAATTAGATCTTTCTGGCAAGGTTTGGGACCGTAGGTAGTCTTTCTGGCCTCATCCTGCCGGCCGGGTCGCCCATAATGGGCTTAAAATGGCTGCCGGTCTTCAGACCTCGGTAGTTTTCGAAACTAATACACGTTTGTCGACGTTCGACCTGCTTTCCGACAAATAATAATAGCTTAATGCCTGAGTAATGTTCAGCCAGTGATGGCGAAGTTGTTCCGTATGTCCGACGTTCCAATACAACGCAACCTAGAACGACCACTCTAAAGAACCTATTTCCGCTGTAAATCAAACCAGCAGTAATTGTTTTTCACTGTCCAGTTATTTCAGTTGTCCTATGGCATTTGTTACCTCACCAGTCGATACACAATCAGTCGACGCCATAAGCTAGACCGAGATTACATAATCGAAGGCCGAGAAAATATGGGGAATGAACACGAAAACCGCCGGAAAAACCCGTCCAAGTCCAAACTTGTCCCTATACCAGTAATAAACTCCAGGTGTCTTAATTTCTTATTATCTTCTTTACCGGAACGACATTACAAATTTGGCGCCGGAGCAGGGGCCTAATTCCCTATTTCACCATTTTCCCGGAATGCCATTACAACACAGAAATTGTAAACGGGTTGCGTGTGCTGAATGAGCGACCGTGTTAAATACATCTGGTATGATCGTAAATTGCGTTTTACGCCACATATGAAAATTTGGGTTGATGCGTGTTGTGTCGTGCACCAAAAAAAACTACCCGATTCAAAGGGCCATCGACGGGTTCGTTAAATAAAACTACCGAGATGTCTGTACATAAAAACTTATTTTTCTGACAATGTCAAAATCTTACTGGTTTTTCATTTTTAGGTGTTGTTGTATTCGATTCTCTCTTTTCTCTCTCCATTCATGCGTCTCATATATTCGCATCTCTGACAATGCGTTTGTAAATGTGGTGGTTAATGGTTAACCAAAAACAACAAAAAGTAACAAAAACTAATCCAAACTAAAAAAGTTAACAGAAAACGAAAAATTGTGTCAAAGATAAAATCACCAAATTATTTCTTCTCAATGACGGACAAGTGACGGTTACTGACGGAAAAATGTTGACAGCAATGACGGTAAAGTGACAACGTTATCCTAACCTCAAAGTAAGTTCTTGTCACTTTTACTTTGTTTCTTTTGTGTTTACCCATGGTTACTACAGTTTGAAATAATTAAGAGGTATTTACGTAACGAGACAGATTACTTTGAAGAACATTGTTGCAAGACTAACAGTCAAAAAGTGACAGAAAAATGCATTGACATAAGAAGCGTCACTAAAAAAAGTGTTTGTAGGGGCAGAATCTGCAACGTGAGCCACTTGGTTTTCACGAGGACGGAGAGTAACTAAACGAGAAAATCACCATAATTTATCTTAACTGTGGTGACTTGTGGAACTTAATTAGTTCTACCCTGATTGGCCGTAACAACGGATTGACAGACAGTAAGGACATGATGGCGTCATTTGCTATCTCATGAAAAAATGACAATTTGCTTAATAATCCGGAGAAAGCTTAGCGCGAGATTGCAAAGAGAAAATTTTGTTGCGGAAACTGGAATTATTCTTTAATTAGTTCTATATGAGGAAAATGCTGATTTTAGTTGGGTATCCAGGAGTGTTCAATTGAGTTTTCTTGTTCTAACGCATATTTATAAATATACACCGAATAATGGTGTTTGCGCGCTAGAGAATAATAATGTTTTTTTTTGGCAAACGTGGTAACATCGCTTTGAGAGACAGTTGAAAAAGATAAAAAAGACCAGCACCGTGAGTAGTCAGTGTCAATTGCTCCTTCATTATCGTTAGTTTAATTTCTGTTCGTTAGTAGTAAAATAAAATAGTAATACAGTCCACAAGTGTAATTCAACGAAGCCAGTCTAACCATAAATCAAACAAAGGGTGATCTCAAAAATAAACTTTTTGGTTTTGCAGCGATAACGGCTCTGCTCTTTGTCCGATTTTCACAATCTAGAGGGAGCTCATGTTGAAGCTTAAGCTTGATAAAGAATTTAAGACGATTGAAAATGTTGCAAAAAATTAAAATTACCCAATTCTGTAATTCCGGAAGATTTTCAACTAAGTGAAGTCAACTTTACTTCAAATTTCTATTGAATTTTTCCTTCAACCTTCAACATGAGCCTTGGAATTTGACAATCTGTTTAAGAGAAAAAAAATATGATTGCAAAACCGAAAAGTGTACTTTTTTAAAGCACTCTGTAAATAAACGAGATGGGTTAAAAAATCGAAAACGGACTTTAGACCGGGGTTTGGACTATTTAACAATTTCTAGTTTTTCGCTCAATGATGTGTTCTACAAATCGTATGAAAATTTCGATTCGCTACCTTCTCTGATTTTTCAGTTAACGGAAGAGTAAGTTTGAAATTTGGCGTTTTTTACCTTGAAGTTTACAAGCTTTTAAACTTTTTGTTCAATATATTCTATAAATCGTGGCAAAATGCGAAATTGTCACCCGCTCTAGTTTTTGAGTTACGATTTTTTAACAAGCGAGCATGTTTGGTTTTTTTGAGTTTTTAGGCCCGAGTTTGGAAAACTTACATAAAATCAATGAGTGCTTGGATTTCTGGAGAATTTACACACTTTTCGGCTCAATGTCTTCTGTAAACCATGTGAAAATGTCTACGTGCCTTTAGCTGTAGTTTTTGCGTTACGGTTGTTTTGCTAATAGGGGCGTAAGTTTGATTTGATGCGTTTTTAGGCCCCAGATTGCAAGCTTCTAAAAATTAGTCAACGTTTAAATTTTTGAACAATTCTCAGAATTGTGACTTTACGTCTTTTATAAATTCCGTGAAAATTTCAAGTCCCAACTTGGTCTAGTTTTCGAGTTGGGATTTTTTGTTAAGGAGCGCACAATTATGATTTTTATTGATTTTTAGGCCCAAGTTTGCAAGCACCTAAAACATCAGTGGGTGTTTGAATTTTTAAACAATACTCTAACTTTAAGATCTAAATAGCAGAGAACTGCTGTTTTGCGAAAACACCATTAAGCAAAGTTGTTAGCACAAGCATTTTCTATCAGGAGAGCGAATTCTTAACCGCGCAGACCAGGGCTTGAATTTCGAAACCCTTCAAAACGTTTTTAAATTATGGGTTAGTCTCATTATATGCAATATTCAACTATTTTTAATACTTACAGTCATATCAAATTCGGTAATAAATGCGGGTATTTCTAGCTGATCAGGCGACATAACTGAATAAAGGTATTCCACCCCAGGTAAACTATGAACCTTCTGCTTAATAGCTGGGGCCATAAACGTGGTAAACCACCATGTGACCATCTGCGGTAGAAAAACGATTAATTTTTACTCACCCATCAAATTTGTGTTCGGTATGGAGAACCTTCAGAAACATACCTTTGTCCAAAATGTAGGGTGGACCACATAAAATGCCTTCAAATTCTTCTTGTATTTGTAGGGCAGCACGTTGTACACCTCCCTCAACCACGAAAACGAAGGGTAGTTGCTATTGGAGGTGAGAGTGTGGAAGTACACAATCACATAATCGCCTCTTACTATTGGGTCCAAAAGGTAAATTAAGTAAAGAAGAGCCTGAAACGAGACGAAATAATGTCAAAAATTGAGAAAATGCCTGAATGAAGTGAATCAATTAATAATTCTAAAAAATCAAAATTAATAAAGCTAAATATGTTGAGACTGACTAGAGCTAATAGGTCCGAAGACGGTCTTGGGAGTGTTTGCTTGTGCCACCGCTTAAAGACATGTTTCTTATTTTACGCATTTCTGACTGAGCAACCAGTAACCAAAACTTTGTCAAACTTTGTTTTTATCAAATTTTGAGGTTCGCTAATCTCAGGCACCCCCAGGACCGGTTTCGAGCCTAATAGCTCTCATCAGCTGGGTTTAGCCGTTATTGTTATCTATAAATTTTGTTTGTCACACACAAATTCTCATTATTCTGACTAAACCTGGGTCAGAAACTTAACAATTTGTGATATTAGTTTTTTTAGAGAGCGAATTTCTTATTATTATATTATTGTAACGGAAATGGCCTGGGGTACTCACGTTTGGAATGGGGGGATCGAAATTCATGGTATTTCAGTAAATGGGAGCCCCATTTACTGTCAAATATGACACTGACAAGCGGGAAATTTCGCACCTGTKCTGGAGATTTCGAGAACCATCTGGGTTACCTGGAGGAATCTATATAAGGGACGACGAGAACCACGGGGGGGGAGTGAAGTGRCAGGAGCGACCGAGTTCAGAAGAGGTTARACCCCGCGAGTTTTCCGTCTGTTATTGTTATTGTTTGTGAAGTTGACGGTAATTTTGAAGTTAGTTTGTTCCTGTTCCGTATTTAAAGTTATACTGAAGTGAATAAAAGTTGGAAGCTGAAGAAAGAGTTTGATATTCGGCCATCCACGGTACATTATTATTCGGCGAACTATTATTTCTATTTTCTATTATTTTATTTTCAGTGTAGCTTGTAAAAGGCGAAACTTGCAAAACATTTTACTGATATTTAGATTCATCACATTTCACCAAACTGAAACAACAAATTTAAATACTAATTTTAAGCGGTCTAAGCACTGCTAAGGTTAAAAATTACTTTAAAAGTACCTTCAGTCTATTGATGGAAAAATTTAACGTACCTGTTGTTACAGTCTTATTGATCTAGCTAATCAAATAAAGTGTGGGCCGAAGGCCAATTATTGCTTTAAAAAGTAATCAATATCTCTTACATAGAGAATAGTATACGACATTCTCTATAAAGAATTCTTCACCAATTTCTCGACAACTTTCTTCACTGTTTGTGGGCGAGTAAATCCACTTACAGTTGGTGTACAACGGATATATGCACTAGCACAACAAGCAATAGTATAATTATACTCTCTACAAAGGTCCTTTTCTGACCTGAATGTATTGTACCAGGATTAGCAGGTCAAAAACAGACACCGACGCCCCCAGTCTAAGAGTGATAGCAGCCGAGCGCACAATTAATAGAATTCAGAAACTCTTTTGTATTTTACCGTGTATCGATCACGTACTTTTTACTTTATATATTGAATAAAGCTAATATCAAATTCAAGTATACATATTCCTGAATTAACGAACAGGTTATGGGTTCAGGAATCGATGCGCGATAAAAGGACATAAAGATTAAAAACAGTCAAGTGATTTGTGGAGTATAGTGAAAGTTAAAGTTCTCAATTTTTGGTCATAAGGAAAAATGGCCGAAAGCTTCGGATATCGGTCCTCCATACAGAAGCTCAACAGTGACAACTATGCCGTTTGGAGTTACAAGATGGAGCTTATGCTAATCGACGACGATGTATGGGAAGTAATTTCTAAAGGAAAGCCGACTAAAGCAGTTCCAACAGCATTGAATACGTAAACAAAGAAAACAATAAGGGGCGGGTAAGAATTGGTCTTTCGGTCGAGGACGATCAGTTGACTCATATAAGAAGCGCCGGAACAGCACGGCAGGCTTGGCACGCACTCAAAGAATATCACCAAAAGGTAACGTTAACATCTAAGGTTTTATTGTTAAAGATATTATACCGTACAGTTCTTGGTGAGGAGGGTGATATGGAGGCGCACATTCATGTTTTTCAAATACCGTCAACCAGTTGATAGCTCTCGGGACTGAATCAGACGATAATTTATTAGCAGCCATTCTACAGGGAAGTCTTGCGGAGTCCTATGACAAGCTCGTTACGGCTTTGCAGAGCAGGCCCGAAAAGGACACAACCTCGCCGTTTATCAAAAGCAAATTGATCGACGAGTATAAGAGGCGCAAAGGGCAACAAGACGCGAAAAATAACTTTCCAGTAAGTGAAACAGCGATGAAAACCGTGCACAGTAATAACAGCGGACACAATAACGGTCAAGTAATCAGAAGCTGGTTTTCATGCAAAAAAGTAGGCCATATAAAGCAAGAATGTACAAAGTTTAAAGCCTGGAAAAATAAACATAAAAATTAGGCCAATGCAGTGAAAGAAACTTCATTTGTTCAAGAGGAAAAATTATTCACGGCTACCGAAAATGTGTACACAAAGCCTGTCATCAGATAATGTCGAATATGCACGGTTTAGCGCAAAAGCAAAGAAAAACTCCAGCAACACATGGTTTATCGACTCAGGAGCAACGAGCCACATGACAAACTCGAAGGATGTTTTCATCGTTTTCGACACAGCTGCAAAAGGTATTGTGCGGATAAACTAAGGAAAATCAGGTACAGACAGCCAACGAAAGGTCCTGTGGCAATAAAACTTGAGCACGCTATAAATTGTCGGCATGCATGGCACAGACGCTTTGGGCACCGAGATATTGGTGCAATTAGAGATTTAGTCAATAAAGATCTAGCAACCGGCATACAGATTACAGACTGCAGAAGAGGTATGTGAATGCTGCGAAAAAGGGAAAATGGCCCGCCAACCTTTTCCGAAAGAGTCCCGCCATAAAACGTAGGCCATTCTCAATCTCGTCCATACAGATGTTTGGGGACCCATGGAAACAATGACGCCGGGAGGAAATATGTACTTAATGACCCTCATTGATGACAAAACTAAAGATGAAGTAGGCTCCCAATTAAAGCGATTTGTGATTTTGGGGGAAAACTCCAAAATGCATCAGATCCGATCGAGGAAGGGAGTATATCAACAAATGCTTGCAAGGTTTTTTAACCCAGAACGGAATCAAGGCACAGTACACGGCCGGATACTCTCCACAGCAAAATGGAGTTGCCGAGCGAAAAAACCGGCCACTTTTGGAGGTGGCAAGGTACATGCCTTTAGATGTAAATATGAATAAAAAGTTTTGGGGTGAAGCAGTAAATACAGCAAATTTTTTGCAAAATCGACTGCCGACAAGAGCGACGGAAACAACTCCGCATGAGCTATGGTTTAATGAAAAGCCCTACGTACCCTTATGACAAGTACAGGGTAGAAAATGAGGATGGGGCGCCAGCTTGGCTTCCGGATATATGTCCTTTTGTTAAAAAAGAGTCAAGAGTTTAATTTTGCCCGTTTTTTTAATTCTAAAATCGAATCAAACCTGAAGCTATAATAAAGCAGTCTACTGGGGCAAACCGTACCATTTAAAGTTGAAAAGCAATTTTTGTGAGTTTAAGAAAAAAGTAAAGCTATACGAACAAACTAAAATTGTAAGGGAATCAAGCGAGGAACCAAGAAATGAGAATTTCAAGATAGGCGATAAATACAGCAAAACTGAAGAGAAGAGGTCGCACAAAATGAGCTCGTGCTATAATTGTGGCAATAAAGGACATACGTCTAATACTTGCCCTAACAAAGAGAAAAGAACGAAATGTTGGAAGATGATCAACGTAAAGGAGCGAAGAACGATGAAAGCGGTTCTGAAGTGGAAGGAGAATCGTAAGAACTGGCCGTGCAAGCCAGTACGAAAAAGCCCAAATCTCAAAAGGTTAAAGTTGGATCTGAAAACGAACAGGGCCAGAAGTCTAAAAAGGCCCAGAACAGGAAAGTACTTGATTCTGATGAAGACGAGGTACCAGTGACAAAAGTACAAAGTGCTTTTGCTAGGCTTCAAATGGACGATAGTGAAGCTGAAGCCGCAGCTGCTAACGACAAAAGCGAGGAGGAAGAAATGTGCGCATGCCCTGAACCACAGCAAGGTGTTAAAAAAGAAGGCCCAGTTGAGGATGCGAAACCGAAAGACAAAGTAGCTGGATAAAGATAAAGAGGATATTTTAATAAAGGGTCTGTCAGAGGAAACCATTAGGAGATTTAGTTAAAATCGAAACGAAATAAGAGGGGAAGATAAAAAACAGATTTGGAAAGTTCAGGTAGAAAACAAGAAAATATTAAAGAAGAACAAACGTAAGAAGATGGAAACGAATCTCTCTGTATATTAAATTTGCAAATGCCTTTTTCCACGTGCTGTTCTTACTTATTATTTTAATAATATTATTGGGCAATTAGCCAAGTCATAACATTAAAACACGATAATTAACCGTATTATTCCTAATTGCTTAATAGCCTCAATTTAACAGTAGTCGGATTTATTTGCATATGACGACCTACCTTGTCAAGACTGATTTTGTTATACGGAAACCATTTTCCAATAAACACCACAACTGGTCGTCCTAATCGGTCAACTCCAGATTGATATAAGCATCCAATGCCCGATACTTCCGTTAAATCTTCAATTTTCGATCGTCGCAATAGTTTTTCGTATCTGCAAAAATAAAAATAAACACTACAAACAACAGGTAAAATTAAAATGAACAGTATACTAAACCATATAAACTTGGGCAGATTTACTTTCAGTATGGTTTTTTTTTTTTTATTTACTTTCTCGTATCATATTTATTCTACTATTTGTTTGTTAAGAGTATAAGAAATAAGGTACAAGAAAAAAGTTTTTTAATTTACTTTCTTGTACCATACTTATTCTGCCTGTTAACACACAAAGAGTAAACGAAATATGGTACAAGAGAGTAAATTAAAATAAAATATTGAACTTGTTTAACGCATGATGGCAATAATTATTTTATTTTATAATTTTAATATTCTTGTTAGTCTAATAATTTATAAATGGATCAGGAATAGGTAA